AGAAACATCGATGAGAGAGAAACATCGATCAGCCGCCTCCTGCACATCTCCCACTGGGGATGTGCCCGCAACTCAGGTACTTGCCCTTGACCGGAATCGAACCCGGGACCCTTCAGTCCACAGGCCGACGCTCTATCCACTGAGTCAAACCAGTTTCAGCTGTTTTTGTTGTTTTAACTAAGACAGAATTTGTGATACCAGACCCGCTTTCCTGGTTCAAGCATGGTACCTCCAGGCCCACCCCTCTGGTGTGGGATACCCTTTGACAGTGGGGCTCCCTGGAGACATCCATGCCTCCCCAAGCCGACCACCTTCCGCAGCCTTGTTCTTGCCCGCGCCTCATGGGGCTTCTGTGGCTCAGAGAGCAGTCCCACTAGAACCTCGCAGGAGGTAGTCTCCAGTGGCCCACCCCACAGTGGGTTTGTGGACAGTACTTCCTTTCCCACGTGTCCAGAGCAGATCTCCCTAAATGCTGCCTACAGACACGAGACCTAGCAGGATACACACTGTGATACAGACTCGTAGGATCTGGGAGGGAAAAACAGGAAAGGGTGAGACATGGACTCTGCTGCCTGAAAGGATATGCCTCTCGCTCCTCGGAGCCCACAGGTCCTTCCAGACCCACCTGGTCTCCAGTCCTTGCATGGGCTCCCCCTTGTCTGGATCCCTCTGCTGCAGGGTTTGCTTCCTGATCGAGGGTCTTATACTCGTCCCCTCATGGATGTTACTCTTACTTTCCCAACTTGTTCACAAGCTCCTGGGGAACAAGGACCACGTCTTCTCATTTCTTTCATCCTCCATGGCCCTTGACAAATGCTGGTCCTGATGGCTGCCGGCCTCCCAGAGGCTCGCTCATGGAGGTCCATGGAGAACTGCAGGGCATTCAAGGTGCTATCGGCCATTTGATTCTTCTGTGCACCTCTCGGGGTAGACATAGGTGGATTATTATCCCACTTTACAGGTAAAAAAATGAGGCTTAGACATGTGCAATTATTTACAAGAAAATCAAACTGTCTCTAGGATCTTGATATGGGCTAGATCTCCTGACACCAACATAGTGCTCTGTCCCCAATGCCCAAGCAGCTGGAGAGGTAAAGATTGGGCCTTGTATTCTATCTGGAGCTCCTATTCCAGTCCCAGGCACATACTAGGTGCTCAGTAAATGCTTTTTGGATGAATGAGCTGATGAATGAGCCATAAAGAGACATTTCCTCACAGAGAATTTCATATGATGATCTGGTGAGGATATGTTCTTCATCCCTAGGGGGCATTTTTTAAAAAAATATATTTTTATTGATTTCAGAGAGGAAGGGAGAGAGAGATAGAAACATCCATGAGAAAGAATCATTGATCGGCTGCCTCCTGCACACCCCCCACTGGGGACTGAGCCCACAACCTGGGCATGTGCCCTTGACTGGAATCGAACCCGGGACCCTTCAGTCCTCAGGCTGATGCTCAAGCCACTGAGCCAAACTGGCTGGGCCCTAGGGGGCATTTTTATACTTGCCTGGGATAGTTGGGGTATCTGAAGTCAAAGAAATGAAGGTGAACCTCGCGGTCTCCTCGCCATTATTTCACAATACTTTTCTTTGTTTCTTGCAGAGTCACTTTGTGGCGTGTATGACAGCGATCTTACACCAGATGGGCGACCAGCACTACTCCTTTTACATTGAGACCTTCCAGTCCAGCTCTGAGCTTGTGGTGAGTCTATAGGATGCTGGAGGCAGGGCGGGCGGCGTGAGGGAGACGTGTCCCACTCGGTTCTCAGGAGTTTGGGACAAGAAGGGCTCCACTGTGGACCTTGAGGAAGTGTGTGTCCAAGTTTACAAATGGGACTGCCTGGTTTGCTATTCTCACTCCCCTTCAGGCTGGTACACATCTTCTGGAACATGCCCACATCAGAGATGAGACCTGAATGTCAAATCATGATTCATCAACAAACATTTGTTAATGAATTTGGGGGCTTACCGGCATGCATGTTTGAGTCGCACGGTCCTGGGCTTGAACCCAGGATTTGTCCCAGTTAGCTGTGTGACCACGGGCGGGTTAACCTCTCTTCAGCTTTAGTCTCCCCATCTGTAAAGTGGAGATAATATCATTTATGTCACAGGGTTGGAAGTGGGTCTAATGAGAACACAGCAGCTCTGAGATGCTAAGTGCTCAGGAACAGACAGCGAATATGACATTATGATAATAAACGCATGGAGGAAGGTGGCCTCTGAACCGCTCTCTTCTTCTGGCCTCTCTGCACTTACTGGCTACAGGATGACTTCATCAACACAGAGCCCAGCCCGGCTGTCCCAGGGCACAGCAGGCCCTTCGCCCTCAGCATGGTCACCTTTGCCATCGCCTCCCTACGGCCATATTCAGGGGTTCTGCCCTGAGGGCTCACTTTCCACTCTCCTTGGAGAGACCAAAGGCACCAGCATTGGACAAGCCTCAGAGAATGCCCCATAGAAAGGGAATCAGTAGGAAGCCAATTGCTACCCTTTCATTTATCTGGGGGAGAGATTCTCCTTATTGGAGGATGAGCAAGAAATGGAACCTCCTTCTGGATATAAAACAAAAGTAAAGCTTAAAAACATAAGTTTTCCCCTCCCTCAAGTTCTCTGTCTTGGGACATGAAAATAAAAAGACCAGATTCATATTTTTGACCCCCAAATGGAAGGAAAGATGGGAAGGAAGGTGGGAAAGGGCGTTACTTACTGAACACACACACTTTCTTATATAACCCTCACGACAGCACGACATAGGTGTCACTGCTCACTTTTCCAGGCCTTCTCCATTCCCACAGGGAGGGGGTGTGTCTGTGAGGGTAGCCACACATATTCAGGTGACATCAGGATGAATAGCAATGCTCGCATCATCATTATCATCATTGGGCACTTAGTGAACAGCACTTACCAAGGGCCAGGCTCTATGCAAAGCATCTTCTGGTGCTCACGCCATTGTCACGGGGACCCTCTGGGTGAATGCTGTCCCCACGCTGCCGAGGCCGAATCTGGGGCTTAATGCACTGCGGTAATTTCCCCTAGAAGCAAAGATTGCTGGAAAGGAACCAATCTTATTTCCAGAATTTTGCAATTTACTATGAAGCAGTGATTTTCGAATTACATTCCTCCCAGCCTCACTACCTCTCCCATACACACACACACACACACACACACACACACACACACACACACTGAAACCACAGCTCTTCTACTTTTATCTAGTTTATATGTCAGGTTCCAGGTAAGATTTTCTCTGAACAAAGAATTCTGCTGTTAAAATCGCATGAAAACCACTGGCGCAAGGAAAGCTCCGGCCGGGTGTCCCAGGGTCTGAGATCTTACCTGAAGCGCACAGGTGAAGGCTGCATGACTTCCTCCCTGCAGATCAGGAGGCCCCCCCGGCGGTGGCCCTGATCCCTGCTCTGTGCATTTGCCTTGCACTTGTGTTCCCCACAGATGGAGAGCAAGTCTGGTCGACTGCATAACCCAGTGGGGTGTGCTGCGGTCCGCTCGGAACCTCTGTGAAGGAGAGGAAGAGGTCCCTGCCCCTCTTCCCCTAATCGCCCGGGCTCCTGTCTGTGACACATGAATTAGCTGTGTTTACTGTGCTGCTAATTCAGTGTTCATTTTAATAATAGTTTGTTTGCTCAATGGCCTGCGATGCTTTCATAGAGTGTAGATCATTTCCTTCTCAGATACATATTTGGGAAGATGATTATAAAATTGCCACAGCAGTGAAGGCACTTATGTCTTTACTCCCAGAGACAGAATTAATGGTGCTTTGTTTTGAGAGCGTTATCACATTTCGTGTTCCTGTTCCACTTATATTTGTGAAACAGACTCTCGGTAACCGACTTCAAGCTCCCATTTAAAAACCCACTGCTATGGGCTTCATTGGATTTACCTAATGGAAGGTTACGCCCTTTCCCTTTCTGCCCCACCAACGATTCTAAAGAAAAAATATCAAGTATTTGTGAAACAGACTCTCGGTAACCGACTTCGAG